CCACAACCCAACACAAGCTTGAGAGAGGGTCAGAGAAAGACAGGCATGAGAGGATTGTACGTATGGCTGAACAGACAGCCTCTGCCCTCAGGGGTTTCAGAACCTCAAGACAGTTGCCTCCTTTCCTGAGCACGGTAGAGGTAACCGCTCCCAGAAGCACACACAGACCAGTCAGGGCACACAGCAAATGCCAGCAGACCACAGCAGCACTTGGCTTTCATCCTATACAAGCATAACCCCGAAAAACATCAGACCCTCACCACTACCCTGAGAAGCAGGCAGTACCTTCCCTATGGCACAAATGAGGACCAGGCTCGAAGATATTAACTAATTTGCTTCTAAGACCACGTAGCTTGAAAGTGGCAAAGCTGGGATTCACCCAAGTGCTCTTACGCACTCAGAATACTGCCTAAGATAAAAAGAGCCTTAACTCAAAGTAACAAGCAAATTAAATGGAGGAACATCTAGATCCTATACTAGGTATATTTCTGATGCTGGTACATGCAAAATAGCAGCTGAAAATGGAGGAAGTCTGGAAAGGAGGTGGAGCATCCAGTCAAGAGCATCTGGAAAGTTAATCTACATCTTGCATTCTCCAAGGGGCCAGATCGCCTGGGGTGGGGGGGCTCGTTCTTGGAGACAAGAAAACCTCACTCTATGCACAAAGCACAGGCATGCATATAGTACATAAACAGTATATCTGTGGTATTAAAATTTCATAGTAAGGAAGTCACAATTGGGAAAAATTACATTAAAAAGGCTTGGGGGGGGCGGTGGGGGGGGCGGTGGCGTGCCTGAGTGGCTCAGTCGGTTAAGCATCTGCCTTGGGCTCAGGTCATGATCCTGGAGTCTCAGGATTGAGCCCCGCCCGCATCAGGCTCTCTGCTCAGCGGGGAGTCTGATTCTCCCTCTGACCCTCACCCCTCTTGTGCACTCACGTGCTAATAAAAATCTTAAATAAATAAATAAATAAATAGGTTCAGGGAGGGAGAAGAGGGGCGATAAAGAAAAAAAGCTAGAGAGAAACTGATCTACAGGAAGCAAATGAGAACTAGCAAGAACAGAGTGAGAGGCAAAGGAGACCGATCAGATGTGGCCATGTCAGTCCTGATGCATGTGCAAGAGTCCTAAGGAAGGCAGAAGATGAACAACTCGCTGTGCCCAGGGCACCCTCAGCTTTCCTTCTGCCCTACTTCATTCTTCCACATGTGCAGTTACAAGTATATCAAAAATCAAACACAGAGAAAGGAACATTTATAAAGTGTGTAAGGTACAGAGAACAGCAAAACAGCACCCCTATACCTGCCACCAGCTTCAGAAAGACAAGACTATCAGTGCTTTAGAGGGTGCCGGCCATATCTCTATTAGGCCTCAATTAAACTGTCAAAGGAAAAAAAGGGGTGGGACTGCATCTCCCCCAATTCTTCTACTTCCCATCCCAACCAGACATAACCACTATCCAGAATTTTAATAGTTATCTCATCTTTGTAAGCATACATGTGAATGTATCGTTTAGTTTTGCACAATTCTGAGCTTTATATGGGATCATATCTGATGGAATCCTCTGCAACTTGCCTTATTAGCTCAATGTTGTGATCCAAAAATTCATCCATGTTGACAATTATAGCTATGATTCATTCCTTTCCATGGAATAAATTCACTACAATTCATCCATTTTCCCATAATGGATACTTGCATTGCTTCTGGTTCTTCATATTATAAACATCACTGCAGTGAATGTCCTGACTCATGCCCTGATAGGCGAACAAGACTTTTCCCAGGGAATATATCAGAATTAGCGCTGCAGCAATGTCCACAATAGCCAAACTGTGGAAAGAGCCAAGATGTCCATCGACAGATGAATGGATAAAGAAGATGTGGTATAGATATGCAATGGAATATTAGGTAGCCATCAAAAGGAATGAGATCTTGCCATTTGCAACGACGTGGATGGAACTGGAGGGTGTTATGCTGAGCGAAATAAGTCAATCAGAGAAAGACATGTATCATATGACCTCACTGATATGAGGAATTCTTAATCTCAGGACACAAACTAAGGGTTGCTGGAGTGGTGGGGGGTGGGAGGGATGGGTTGGCTGGGTGATAGACATTGGGGAGGGTATGTGCTATGGTGAGTGCTGTGAATTGTGCAAGACTGTTGAATCTCAGATCTGTACCTCTGAAACAAATAATACAGTATATGTTAAAAAAAAAGAAGAAGAAGATAGCAGGAGGGGAAGAATGAAGGGGGGGAAATCGGAGGGGGAGACGAACCATGAAAGACTATGGACTCTGAGAAACAAACTGAGGCTTCTAGAGGGGAGGGGGCAGTGGAAGGATGGGTTAGCCTGGTGATGGGTATTAAAGAGGGCACGTACTGAATGGAGCACTGGGTGTTATATGCAAACAATGAATCATGGAACACTACATCAAAAACTAATGATGTAATGTATGGTGATTAACATAACATAATAATAATAAAAAAAGATCACATTGACGTGTTGATATAATTAACCATATTAGTAGATGGTTAATTAACTAATATGGTTAATTATATTAATATGTTGATGTAATCTTTACATGTTAAGCCACTTTGCATTCCTGGAATAAATCCCATTTGGTCGTAATTTAAAAAAAAAAAATACGCATTGCAAATATTTTCTCCTAAAAAAAAAAAAAAAAAAAATTAGCGCTGCAGCTATGGGCTATGCACCTCTTTGTATTACAAAGAAAAATACATATTCACAAGCTCTCCGTATGAGTTCAGGTAGCCATTACTTGATACAATAAGCATTTTGTCTTTGCTCCACTGGAAAGTATGAAATGATAAGAGTTTTAAGATGCATCTGCTTGATTACTAATAAAGTTGAACATGTGTTCTAAGTTTATTGGTCATTTATGTTTCCTCTTCTGCAAATTCCTTTGCACATCTTGAGCTATTATTTATTGGGTGATTTGTCTTTTTCTTAGGAAATTTCTTTATGTATTCTAAATACTAATCCTCTGTCAGTTTGTAAATGACCTATTAGTGACTTGTTTTTTCACTTTCTTCATTGTCTCTTTGGATCCATCCAAAGATGTACACAATTATACACTGATGATTACACATGATTATACACTGACAAGTTATTTTAATGTAGTTAAACTTATCAATTTTTTCCTTCACAATTTGTACTTTTTGTGTCTTAAGAAATCATTCTCAACCCTAACAATAACAGATAATCTCCATCACACTTTCTTTTTTTTTTTTTTTAAAGATTTTATTTATTTATTTGAGACAGAGAGAATGAGATACAGAGAGCATGAGAGGGAGGAGGGTCAGAGGGAGAAGCAGACTCCCTGCCGAGCAGGGAGCCCGATGCGGGACTCGATCCCGGGACTCCAGGATCATGACCTGAGCCGAAGGCAGTCGCTTAACCAACTGAGCCACCCAGGCGCCCTCCATCACACTTTCTAAAAATGATATACTTTCTCACTGTAAGTCTTAATCTACCTTGAAAAGGATAAGTGTGGGGATGCCGGAGTGGCCCAGTTGGTTAAGTGACTGTCTTCGGCTCAGGTCATGATCCTAGAGTCCCTGGATCGAGTCCCGCAAAGGGCTCCCTGCTCAGAAGGCAGTCTGCTTCCCCTTCTGACCCTCCCCCCTCTCATGTGCTCTCTCTCTCAAATAAATAAATAAGATCTTTAAAAAAAAAAAAAAAGGGTAAGTGTGCATTTCTTTTTAACATAGCTAAACAACTCTGTCAGCACTGTTTACTGAACACTTCATCTTTTCCACACAGATCCGAAATGCTAATTCTGTCACAAAACAAGTTTCCATCTATGCACAGGTATTTTCTAAACTCCATTCTGTTCCACTGGTCTACTTGTCTACCCTGGTGCCAATACAACAATGTCCTAATTATCATATCTTTATAAGTCATAATATCTGGTAGGGTATATCCTCTGATTTTGGTATCAATTTTATACTATCTTCATAAAAGGTAGGCTCCCTCTTTTTCTCTTTTCTGAAAAAGTCTGGGAAAGATTTAAGTCATTTGTGTCTTGGATGTTTGGCAGAATTGGTATATTACTAGTGTTTTCTTTACAAATAGATTTTTGACTAGTGATTCAATTTCTTTTCACGGTGATAGCACAATGTGGTCTTTCTCTTTCTTCATGAGTCAGTTTCAGTGAGTTGTATTTTCTAGAAATGTGTCTACTTTGCCAAAGTCTTCAAGATTTTTGGTGTAAAGTTGTGCAAAATATCCTCTTACTATATTTTTTCATCAGCTTTTCCATACCTAATACTGCTTATTTGTGCACTTTCTTTTTCCTTGACCAGTCTTGCCACTGATTATTTTATTAATTTCTGCTCTTATTTTTGTTGTTTCCTTCCTTTCCTTTTATTCTGTCCTAACTTAAGTTGTATGTTTAGTTCATTATTTTTCAGCCTTCCTGCTTTTTTAATATGAGTACATAAGATTATGGTTTCCAATTAAGTACCATTCTAGCCACACCCTACAAATTTTGATATGTAACATCTTTTTCATTCATTTCTAACTATTTTCTAATTTCTAGTATGATCTCTTCTTTGACCTACAAGTTATTTAAAAATATGTTCTCTTTAATTCCTAAATGAATTAGAGTTTTCAGGTCATCTTGTGTTATTGGTTTCCAAACTTAACTGCACTGGGATTAAAGAGGGTAACCTATATAAAACACATACTTTGAAATTTTCTTGAAAATACTTTGAAATTTGTTGAAATTTATGGTCCATATATGATTAATTTTTTAAGATTTTATTTGAGACAGAGAGAGAGAGAAAACACGAGCAGGGAGAGAGGGGCAGAGGGAGAGGAAGAGTGAGAAGCAGAGTCCCCAGTGAGCAGGGAACCCAACACGGGGCTCAATCCCAGGACCCAGGGATCATGAGCTGAGCTGAAGGCAGATGCTTAAATGACTGAGCCACCCAGGCACCTCCATATGTGGTTAATTTTTATAAATATTCTGTATTCTTTAAAAGAATATGAATTCTCTAGTTAGGTGTAACAATTTATATATCAAGGTTATTAATTATTTTTTCCTTGTTTTTTCTACATGATCTATCAATTAGTCATGAATTATGTTAAAATCTCTCCCTATAGGGGTACCTGGGTGGCTCAGTCAGTTGGGCGACTGCCTTCAGCTCGGGTCATAATCCTGGAGTCCCGGGATTGAGCCCCACATTGGGCTCCCTGCTCAGCAGGGAGTCTACTTCTCCCTCTGTCCTTCACCGTGCTTGTGCTCTCTCACCCCGCTCATGCTCTCTGGCACTCGCTCTCTCAAATAAATAAATAAAACCTTAAAAAAAAATCTCTCCCTATAATCATATATTTATCTATCTTTATGGTACTGATCAACTTTGCATTATATATGTTAAAGCAAACAAACTTAGAATTAGAACACCCTCCCAATTATTAGTGGCCGGTCACTAATAATGCTCTTTGCCAGCCATTGATAAAACTGTACCAGGGGAGAGGAAAGTCTTAGATTTGCTTGGAACATCTTTTCCCATCCTTTTACTATCAAACTTTCCATGTCCCTCCATTTTAAGTAGATCTTGCCGAGAAGAACATCTTAGGACTCTGTTTTTATTTCTTTGTTTATTTTCCTTTATTTCTGTTTTTCTTTTATCCAGTCTGACAATCTTTTTCTGGGGGATATGTGTGGGGATTAGGTCCATTTCCATTGATTGTGATTACTGATATATTTGCATTTATCTGCCATTCCTTTTGTACTTTCTCTTTGTCCTATCTTTTCCATGTTTCATCCTTACTTTTTTTTTTTTTAAAGATTTTATTTATTTATTTGGGGGAGAGAGAGAGAGCACACAGGCAGAGGGGAGGGGCAGAGGGAGAGGGAAAAGCAGGCTCCCTGCTGATCAGGGAGCCCAATGCAGTTCTCGATCCTAGGACCCCAGAATCATGACCTGAGCTGAAGGCAGATGCTTCACCAACAGAGACACCCAGGTGCCCTCACCCTTACTTTTTAATGACATTTCTAACAGATGAAGCTCACCATTTGTTAAGGGGTTAAAAAAGGAATAGTACTGTCTCACCATCCCTACTCTACAGAAAATGATGAATTAAAATTCAGTGGTGAAAAGCTCTCCTAAAGTTATAAAGCTCAAACATCCCCTTTGAAGTAGCCCTTTTCTCCACTCCAGGCCAGGGTAAGAATAAAAAATACTACTGGAATTCTGATCTACAACAGCTACCATGGCATAAATTATTTGACATTAAAATTATTCCCATTTAATGATATCATTCACTCTACTTTCTTCTGAACTTGTACAAGAAATCACAGGTCCTCAACAAGCATTTGTTTTAATAAGATCATTTGATTAGGTATGATCTTAAAGAGCACCATCTGTGGTTAGTTTTATTCTAAAACTTTCATATTCGATGGTTTTAAAAATAACTTGGAGGAAGCAAGTACAGGATAAGAATTATGAAACCTTTATCATAAATGCGTTACTGATCATCACCAAGTCTTTCTCATCTTTTCCAGGCTTCCAAGGCTAATACCCGCATCTCTTGATTTCCCAGTTCAGGACTCTTTCCTCTCAAAAAGCAAAGAAAGCAGCTTAAAAGGAAATGAGGCACATAATCCTACCTTCCTTGCAAGCATGTTGGCCAGCTGAGACACAGCCATGTGACCAAACAGAAACTGCACCAGCCGCCGTTTGCCCCATTCCATCCAGAAGCTCCACTCAAAGTCGGTCGGGTCCTAAATAGGCCGAAACAGGAGTTAATCAGAGGGATTTTTGCACATCTTAGGCAGAACACAAACTCCAGTTAATAAAACAACCAGAAAGGTGGCCAATGTGACTCCAAACTCCATAAAATGGCATTTATACACTTCCAGCCTGAGCGCCACCACAGCCCCACCCACTTCGACTCTTCCCTCCAGCTTGGCCGGTCTCATTGCCATTCTCCAAATAAGCATCTAGTCAGAGCGGATCCCCGAGGACCCTCTGTAGAACAGAAACCATTATTATTCCCATTTTATAAAAGATGAAACAGAGGCTTAAAGAATTCAATTCATGTACCCAGTGTCACATAGCTAGTGCAAGCAATGAATTGAGGTTATCTCAGGTTTGCCGCGCGAACAAGAGAAATGCAAATTGGACGCTAATAAAATTGCTTAAGGTCAATCGTGTTAAATCTTGCTGTCATTTCAGGCAGGAGGATAATTTGATAGAGAAATTAACCAATTCCCCATAGGATTAGGATGAAAGAATGAGAGATATGCTTCCTTTCCCTTCAGAAAGCTCTGGGTCCATTAGCACCCTGTGTCTGGATCTGTACCAGGTACAGGGTCTCTGCAGCTCCCTTGCAGGGGCAGGTGAAAACTTCTGGCAAGACTGAACAGGTGAACAGCTGTGAACTAACATCCAAAAGCCTTGGTTTGGCCTCAGGAGCCCCAGGGAGATCGTGGTGGCCAAGCTGCATATGGAAGGAATAAACAGTGATTGGCCACTCTAAAATGGGCAATGCAGGGTTGGCCAGTGAGCATCTCAGCACCACCATGATGAAGTGGGGATCTGAGATCCTCAGGATTTTCTAGCCAAATTGTGTGGGTGGGGAAGGAATCCCCTAGTGCTACTGATACTGAACAACCCACCAGTCTGCCAACGGAACTTTAACTGGATTTAAAGGCAAATATGTGATTTTCTTTTTCTTTCTTTTCTTTTTTTTTTTTTACATCTGAGAATTGAGGGGCAATTTCATACCATTACACATATTACAAAACTCTTTTTCCAGAAGGTAAACTATAGATAGAATTTATCTTGATTCATATCAGACTATGAATACAGAGGCAGGAAACCTAGCAGCCAAGGTTGCAAACTTGTTTTGGTTTAGATCCCAAATCTACCCATATACTGGTTATGATGATCTCGAACGAGATGCTTTACCTTTCTGTTCTACCTGCTCATATGATAACATTACTGATCTTCTAGGGGTTTGTGAGGGCTTTTTGCTGTTTGTTTTTTAAAGATTTGTTGATTTATTTGACAGAGAGCGTGGCGGGGGCAGAGAGGGAGAGGGAGAGAGAATCTCAAGCCGGCTCCACGAGATCATGACCTGAGCCAAAATCAAAAGTTGGATGCTTAACTGACGAGTCACCCAGGCGCCCCAGGGTTTGTGAAGTTTAAATGAGAACATATATACACCAAAAGTTTAAAACAGTACCTGGCACGCTGCACTCACTAAAAATTGTTACCTGCACTAACTGCTAGTCCCATGTACTCCCATCCTATGCTATCCACAAAAGACTGTATCATGCTTTATATGGTGCCACTTGTTTAAACATTTTTTTCCATTTTCCAAATAAATACTGTACTGACATTATCAAATAACATCTGTTCTCCACATTCAAGATCCTGATACACACACGACCTGCTCATAGAGCCCCCACCGCCATTAAAATCATGGATCTGGTCCAGTTCCTTCCATTCAGAGATGACGATATCATAGCCCAGGACAAGCCCATGCCCCACAGCCAGGGCAGCAGCAGAGCAGACAACTCCAATCTTTGACCTGGCTCTTGACCCCGATCCAAAGCTCATTTCCGCATCTCAAAAATTTCAAACTAGTGGAGAGTAAATTAACTAAATAAAGGCAAACAAGCTCAAAGGTCACGTGATGATGTCATGCTAGGAAAATGCCATTTTTGTAACGAGGATAAAAGTAAAAACACTAAAAGCCAAGCTTGAAATTTTTTTTAATTCCCTCCCCCTCAAAAATATTCCAATATTTTACCTTTTTAAATATAATGTTCTTAAACACTAAGAATTACACTTAAAATTCAGAACCCCAGGCTTACCTACGCTTCAAAACTTTTCCAACTTCAATTTTTTAGCAGAAAAATGATATCTCATAAAATATAAGAAACCAAAAAGACCTTTATGTTCCACCAGAAGGCCCAGGATTACTGAATACCCTGTGCTGGTTAAACCCCATCAACAAAAATTACAGTCTTTCATCATCAATTCCTTTTCAAAAAATATCCATTTAAAAGAAATAAAAACATTTCTCTCATGTCTGTCCTTCTCCATTTAAAATATTTACCTACAGGAAATAACCGGACAGAAAAGCTGAGCCAATGAACAGAACAAGATGGCCAATAACTGGTGGTTAATGATTTGGGTAAGAAAAATGTTGACTCGCCTGCTTTTATAGGCAAAAACTTTACAGACGCTGAGTTCAATCACACAATTCAAGGCAAATGGTAGAGCCTCAAATCAAGAACAATTTTTTCATATTCTGTTCCTTCCCCATTTCCTTTCTCGACCCTGCAATTCTTAGTCAATTTGAAAACTATTCTTCAGTTCTCGAAGTGAGTCAGACATAGACTGGGGGATACATTCTAGCCAGACAGAACCAGGACGGCTCCTCCACAAAGGGGAGACTGAACTCCAAGGGACGGTCATCCACATCCCATGTTCTGTATCAGTGCTTCTCAACCTTCGGTGTGCACACAAATCATCTACACATCTTGCTAAAATGTAGATTCTGGCCCAGATTCTTATCTCTGGGATGGGGCCTGGGATTCTAGATTTCCAAGAAGCTCTCAGGTGATTACATCTGGCCTAGAGGCCACATGACGAGTAGCAAAGATCTAACACTGATTATGCCTCCTTACAGTTAAATGTTCCTCACCCCAGAGGATCCTTAGCAGCTCACCCCACCTCGTATGGTTCCCAGGCAGGGACACACTAAAGTGGACCACCTAATATATACAAACTGAACAACCATCATCCTGCACACTATAGAAAGCTCTGAGCACCTAGATTCAAGAATTTTTTTAGATGAATAAGTTAACACACACAGTTATTCATTCTGATGCTTTCAATCTGCAACCAGGCAAAACCGAGAAGTCTAAAGCACAGGATAGTTCAAAAGAAAGGGCCCAGGCCTGGTATTCCTAACTACCTCTTTCCCATATAGACAGCAGAGTTCTATCCTAGGCACTGTGGGAAACCCTACAAGTATTCCTTGCCTTGGAGAACTCGCAGAACCAACACCAACCGCCCACCATTAAGACATTGAAAATCTACAAAGCAAGAGAGATCACAGGGATGTAATTCAACCACATATATTTGTATAAATGAGACCTTTCCTGCTCATATAAATCACTAATATTCTGGGTAGGTGTTTTCCAATGATAACCTCCCAACAACCCTTCCAGTCATTTTTGTTTTTTAACTCTGTGTTACAGATGAGTTAATTGGAGGTCAGAATAGGCAAATTATTTGCTCAAAATTAGTAGCGGGGAGAGCAGGATTTCAAACACAGGCCTGTTACCAAAGAAGAAGTCCTTTTCCAAGATGTTCCTACTTGTGCTGACTCTACCTGGACTCTCCTGCCCCTCCCAGACAGATAGATGCACACACTTGCACATACATGCACCCCACTATCTGACCAAATGGTGTCCAACCAAGAGGGTGCTTCCTTAATGCCACCATAACCACAGAGATGTTGGCTCAAGTGTGATGCCTTTTACCTTCTTCCAGGTGGACCTCATTGCGCCCCCTTCTGTCATTCACATCTCAATTCCAGTCCCTTTATCATAGTGGATTTTATTCTAGTGCTTTTTATTATAGTTAATTCATGTATTTTCTCTCGAGGAAGAAAAAATGACAAGTTCTTGAGAGTAAGAACCTTGACTTAACCAAATTTGTGTCAAAAATGCCCAACATTCAGTGAGCTTTAAAAATGGTGGGGGAGTGCAATCAGGCATCCTAAGTCCTCATCACACTTCTGCTCCTGCACAAACCTGGGTAAGTCCCTTGGCTATCTGGACCTGAGCCTTCTTACAGGTAAAATGAAGGGAAAAACTAGCATGATGTCTAAGATTCCTTTCTGAGAGTAAAAAAAAAAAAAAAAAAAAGTTATATTCTAGACTAAAGGAAAGAAACCCTAGTAGAGTGCTAGTCACCTACCTACAGACTTTGAGTTCTGACCAAGTGCCCACCCTTTAGGAAAGCAGTTGATCCCCCATCACCCTCCCATGTAACCAATCCAGGCCTCCACCCTGTCTGCCTGCTCTGTTCCAGAAAGTCCACCACTCATCCAGCCTGCCCTCTTTCCCAGATTGGGAAGAAACTACTACAGTATATTTAGTATGTAGTAGGATACCGCCCATAGCAAGATAAGTCAACTATCTTCAGCGAGGCTAAATATCATGCCCTGGGTCCAACAGCCAATATATGACAAAGCCTGATTTTAAAGCCCTAGATCCTAAGCTGCTAAGTCCATATTTCACATGGTAAATACATATAGCCTAAAAACGGTTAAGATGGTAAATTTTAAGGCATTGCTCAGTGGCATTAAGTCCGTTTACACTGTTATACAACCATAACCACCATCCAGCTCCAGAATTTTTAGCTAGAATGTTCAACTGCTTGACTCAATAGAGTTAAATCTGACATTGATTTCTACACTTCTCTGGAACCTTGAAGGGAGGATGGGTGGAGATTCCCACAGAGTGATTTGTATTATGTATATATTTGATAATACATAAACAATAAATTATTTTACTCTGATAGCCCCAGAAACACAAATCCTGAAACAGATAGACACTCATAGATAAAATCTGAGAGAGCTGACCTGCTCAAGATCCCCCAAACCCAGTCGAAAAGAAAGAAGAAAGATTCTAGAAAGTAGACTGGAAAGGAGTGAACCCATGGCTAACAGAAGGGAAACATGAACATTCAGAAAAGC